GAATGGCCCGGGGGGGATGCACGGGGGTCCTTGGGATGCAGGAATGTCCCGGGAAGGGATGGACGGGGGTCCCCAGGAACCGGGGGTGGATGCCCGGGGGTCCCCAGGAACCGGGACTGTCCCGGGAAGGGCTAACCGGGGGTCCCGGGGGTCCCCGTGAACCGGGCAGCGTTTGGGGAGGGGGCTCCCTGGATGTGGGGGGATCCCGAGGGTCCCGGCTGGGCCCCCCCAGGTGCCCTCGGTGCAGGACACGGTGCAGGAGCACCTGGGACAGGTGAGGGCGGGGGGAGCCCAGGCCCTGCCCGAGCGCGACCGCGCCGAGCTCAAGAGGAGGAAGCTGCTCCTGGAAGTGTGAGTGAGAAAAAAATATATTAATAAATTAATTAATATTAAAAAAATTAATAAATGAATATTTTATTACTTCTAGACTGCACAATTCTATTCGTTAACGCTTTTTTTATTACCTGTGGATTTATCGGTTTTCATTTTGGGTTTATCTTTATTCTTTACTCTTTTTTGTTATTTTTTTGTCCAAACTGGGAATATCCAACTTCTCTAAAGGGCCACAAACTCAAACCCCCATCTGAGCCATTTTCAAACCCTTTTTTCTTCCGTTTGTTGAAGTTTATCGAGTTTAATCTCAACAAAATCAAACTTTAAGGGTCGGGTTAAAGACTCCGCGCAAAACCCGCCCGGGCGAAACGTTAAATAAAAGAAATACCGAGTTAATTAATGCAATTAACGCTAATTAAAGCCACCAAGGAGGAATTAGGGATTCTGAATCGCTCCCAACGCCCCCTCAGGACCCTCAAATCCTTCTGGATCCGCAAAGGCAGCGCCTTCAGCACGGCCGTGGCGCGGCCGGAGACGGAGCTGACCCCGGAGATGATCGCCACGTGGGTGTCACCCCCCCCCCGACCCCCCAGGAGCCTCTGTCACCTCGGGGTGTCCCTGCCGTGACCCCCTGACCCCTCCTGCAGAGGCTCCTGGCGCCGCCTGCCCTTCAAACCCTACAATTTCTCCTCGCTGGGGTTGCCCCCGGCCTGCGGCCACCTGCACCCGCTGCTGAAGGTGCGCTCGGAGCTGCGGCAGATCTTCCTGGAGATGGGGTGAGTGGGGGGCTCGGGGGGGCTCTGAGGTG